TATATATATATATATATATATATATATATCAGCAGGACTCACACAAAAAATGAGATACAAAGTCCAAATTTCAGAATTAATTTAGAGCAGATTAAACCAAATTGTGTTGGTTTGGATAACATGACTGTCCTTCAGAGCGGACTGAGTCGAACACTGGGTGGAGCTAGCTACAAGGGTGTATTTTAAAGATTAATACTCAGACTCATTCTAATCAGAGAGCAGGCAGTGTCAACCCATGCATTGATACTATCTTCACCTCTATTGAGAACTCACTTAACAAATTTCTCACTTAGCAACATAAATTGCGATGGTAAGTTGAGGATTATCTGTATCTGAGGACTGGAAAACAGCTGATGTAGTCCCACCACCACCACCAAAGCCAGATCCTAGGAAACTATAGGTCTATCAGCCTAATATCAATACCTGAGAGGATCTTGGAAAAGATAATAAAGCAACAGATCTGCAAACACTTAAAAGCAAGCAAAGTAATAACCAGAACTCAACACAGGATTTTCAAAAACAGATCATGCCAAACAAATCTTATTTCATTCTTTGACAAATTGACTAGAATAGTGGAGCAGTGAAATGTAATGGACATAGTATACTCTGATTCAATAAGGTATTTGAAAAACCTACTTTTTGTTAAGCTAAAAAATGTGGGATAGACAGCATCACCATGGATTTGTTGATTGACAAATTGCATTTAACATGTTCTCAGTGAAACTGCATCTACATGGAAGGAAGGAAGCAGTATCCTAAGATATTATAATTTATTGTCTTCAAAGCACTGTATAAATGCTCCCCTCCAAATTTGAACTAATTTCTGATGGGCTCATTTAGTATAATGAATGAGAAAGGATTATCTGAAGAGAAAATGGGAATACATTTCCCACCCATCATAAATGGGGTAGACAGCATAATCACCAGAAGTTGTTGGTGCTTCATCACTGAAGGCTTTCAAGAAGAGACTAGACAGCCACTTGTCAGAAATGGTATAGAGTCTTCTGCTTGAACAGAGAATTGGACTAGATGATCTACAAGATTGCTTCCAATTCTTTTATTCTCTACCACTGGATGGATTCACAACTGGCTGACAAACCACACTCAAAGTGTAGTCCATAATGGAACTACATCTACATGGAGGGAAGTAAGCAGTAGAGTATCACAAGGTTCTCTTTTAGACCTAATATTCTTCAATATCTTCATAAACAATTTAGATGATGGAATAGAAGGGAAGATCATCAAATTTGCAGATGACATCAAGCTGGCATAAAGAGTCAACACTCCAGAAGATAGGCTCAAGATCCAAAAGGATTTGGATAGACTTGAACAGTGGGCCCTATCTAACAAAATGAAATTCAGTGGACAGAAAAGTAAGGTTTTACACTTAGACAAGAAAAATCAAATGTAGAGGTACAGATCAAGTAAAATTTGGTTCAATAACAGTAACTGTGAGAGGGATCTTAGCAGTCATTCAAATATGAGCCATCAGTGTGAGGCAGCAATCAAAAAGTCAGTGCAATTTGCTGCATCAACAGGGAGAGAATCAAGATCACATGAAATGTTAGTATACTTTATAATGCCTTGGTAAGGCCATACTTGGAACACTGCATCCAGGTTTTGGTCACCACAATATAAAAAAGATGTTGAGACTGGGAAGAGTGCAGAATTAGAGGCTGGAGGTTAAAACATACAAAGAATGGTTGCAGGAATTGGGTCTGTCTAGTCTAGCAAGAAGAATTAGGGTGACATGTTAGCAATGTTCTAATATTTGAGGAGCTGCCACAAAGAAGAGAGGGTTATCTTATTTACAAAGCACTAGAAGGCTGGGTAAGAAGCAATGGATGGAAACTAATCAAGGAGAGAAACAACCTAGAACTAAGGAGAAATTTCCTGACA